TTGATTCGACGACAAGCTTGACGACACGACAACAATACGCTTCAAACTGAAGTGAATCAGAGATTTACAAGCAACAGAAGATAGATTTTAAAATTGTGGTAACAGCCGAACTGAACCTGCTTCAGTGGAGAGCCCTCATTGAAAAAATTAGATGTTCAGGTCCCAAGTGACACTCTGTTTTTTACTCACTCCAGGCGGACTGTTTTTCAAAGTGGACCAGATGGAGAAGGGTAGCACGGAATACCAACAAAACTGACCGGCTCCTTATAAAATTATACAATGAACTGAATGCTATTCTTTTTTACTCCAAATTAATGACTTGTTTGACCCCAGAGAGAAGAATCTGTCAGCAGAAACGATCACATTAGTCGGATTCCACCGACCAAAGGAACCATCGTTTTGTCGCCTACTGGTTATTCTTCACACTCTAATGGGGGTGTTAAGTTGAGGATTCTGTATGTTAAAGTCATTTTGAACTTACAAATCTGTCATTTCTGGACGGTGCTGAATAAATCAAAGTTGTTCGCGAATTGAGCTTTCGATGACTATCGCGACTACTCTTCGAAGGAGATGGACAAATGCTGTGACGGCTGACAGCCAGTACTCTCGTGAACTCCCCATGTAATTTAGCTGTCATGAAAGGAGAATACTGGATGTCTTTCTCAGGCCTCCTATAAAAACAAGATCATCTGGAATAGAATTTATAGATGAATAATAAAATGCAGTGAGGATCATTCACTATTAACCCTACTTATTCGCGTAAACAACAACATTTTTATGGAGAAGAGAATTTTCAGAAAGTTCGATCACAGCAGTTATGCACACTACGTATATATTTTGAGTTCTTGAATAAAAAGACTGATCGAAGAAAAGTGGTGAGATCTAACAAAATGAATATCCTGCATTGTCTACGTACTTCTACATGGAATGTGCATATTTGTGATGCCGTATGAACTGAACTAACTAAGCAGACGCCAGTGTTATACTGCTCTGGTGACCGTGTGAACATAGGCCATGTTCAGTCTAAATATTTGAGTACTTGTAGTTCCAAACACGACTGCTAAATATTCATCAGGTTAACGGGTTTCTTTTAATACGCAGTAAAACCTTTCAACAAAAGGTATTTCTCAAAACCCCCGAGTCCTTAAGTATGGGTTATCTCCTCCTTCTAAATCTGTCCAGATTCCTAATAGCAACTAATGCAATGTCCATAAGTCGTGCTGGCTGAAGTAATAAATATATTACGGTCTCAAGCAGAAATATCCGCCTTTTATAGGACTAAACAATGGTTAGCAATTTCACGTCATATTCGGGACAATTTCCACACAAGGATCAACTAGTCTTCGTGAGTATTAGAGACGAGAATTTGAAAAGTTTCGGACGCCTTCCGGCAGGAAACGTCTCTTGTTGTCCAAAAGATAGACTGGTTTCTTAACGGAACACACTACTCAGAAGTTGCCAAAACTTCTTCGGCAGCCCACGATCGGTTTTGACTTTCTTGGGGTCCATAAGGCAGGTACTACACAATTGGGTTATCAAAGAGCGTTCTGTTATCTTATGTGTATTGCGTTCCGGGCTATTTCAAAGTCAGGGATACTCAGAATCCGGAAATCCTTCCGTCGACACCAAATCACTTTGAATGACTGTGATGGAAGTGTACATTGCCAACAGACTCGTTCCCCAATGTTCCACCTACCAATGACGAAATTTTAAAGAGTAGAATGTTTTTGGCTCAGGTAGCATAAATGGTCGTTGTTTTGTTTGATGAGCTGAGCAATTAGACTGCAGACCAATGGAGGTGACATCGTCAGTGCGTTGTTAGGGAGCCAGTTAGGCATAGCAGTTACTTCTGGTAGCACAGTTGGTCTGAGAATACTTAGTTAACTCTATCTTATGGTAGTTGACGCAGATGGCACATTGGGATTTCGATCCCACGGGACAGCCACCACTGCTTTAAAGTAGATGTAACGTGTACCACACCCCAACTTTTCTGGCTTATTCGACAGAAGTTTGCCATAAATTACAGTATTTCTGGAGTGAAAATTAAAGAGATTATATCAAATGATTCATAAAAGGCATTAGAATTTATCCAAGCGCATGTGGTTTCATCTCCTCCAGGCAGCAATTCATACAAAGTGAACGTGCTGACGCACGGTTGTTTAACCGTTTATCATACTACCGCCCTTTGATTCCAACCGAACTGGTTAGCTTCGAGGTGTGTATTTCTTTCAAACTTCCACTTACATGTTGTCTTTCGAGGTATGAATAATTGTTTTCCCACCTATGCGGTTGTTCTTCTTTCCGTAGCCCATAACGTGACTTTATTGTTGATTCTTTTCCCCTTTCCTTATTGTATTCAGCGAGATTCCTTCTTTTTGTTGCTTCTATTATGTGCCATATCTCATGCTTGTTCTGACCTGAACATAAGCTGCCCTGTGACCTAGTCGTCGCGCGCCTTCTACAGTAAAACCATGTGGGTTGGTCACCTTGTGACCACTTGTCTTGAGTCAGTGCAAAAATTGGGTAGACGTGGCGTTTCCTACCTATTTATTATAAATGACCCCACTTGGAATCAGCAGTCCATAACCCGGTGTATAGATTAGGGTATTGTCAGGGCGCGCCCAGACAGAAGAAAATGTACATGTGCAGAGAGTGACGCATCCCCAAGGTCACGATCGGTTCGACACGTCCGGAAAGTAGGTGAGTTGGCGGCACCTACGAAACACGGCTCTCACCAAACGGCTTAGCAACACACGACCAGCGTAGTGGGCCTGAGAATATTCACGACCGGAACACCACCATTGGCTGTACGGAGCGAACAAGTGAACGAGCACATTTGGCCAATTAGTCATCCTATATATTTATGCAGATATTCTGTATGTTTTGTCCTGGCAATACAGCCGTGTCCGCAGTTTTCTCTGTCTTCTCCCTATCACGTAGTCTTGCAGGCTCAGTGTAGGCGTAACCCAATAGCTCGGCCACCGCACAATACAACAGGTATACTCCCACAGTTTGAGGTTTATAAAATTTTATCACTATATTATTGTATTCATAGTACCGCATTTGTTCATAAACCTCCTTTTGAACTATCTGACTTTTGGTGTTTTGCGCCTAGCCCAACGTCGTTCACCTGACTGCTGGGAACAATCAGTGGTTATGGAGTTGTAGAAAGCCGAACAGATGAACCTTCGAAACCAGGAGGAGTGCGTACGATTGGGGCTCCGATCAGCAAACAGTCACAAGCATGAACGAAAAAGTCCCTCGGATAATAGCTGGTCGTGGAAACCACTTCTTGACAACACACATCGAGTTGAAAAGTGACTTTTTTTGCTCAGTGAGCTTACAAAACTTGCTTTAAAAATACTGTTTTATAGAGGCGTTGAACGTGTGCACCTACTTGCCAACAAATTTAAAATTAGCGGAGTTGTTATGGTAAAAGTCCACCACACAATGATTCCGTACCCTTTGAGGGTTTTTCGGCCTCGCTGGATTGCATTCACTGCCGTGTTCGCCGGGGCAGTGAGATCATAAGTAATGTATATTACACAATACGGGGGTGACGTTTATTAAACGTTTCAGGAGTATATCAGGGGGCCCAGATGTGAGCTATAAAGCAACATGCTCCCTTAACGATATTTGTAGGCTATTGTAGGATTACTTTGTGGCTGCGCTGATCATAAGTTTGGTGTACTAAAGCGCAATTTCCTCCCGTCTTTCCCTTTTTTTGAAACGATCTCTTATGAAAACAGTTGGACAGTGCACAAAATTCCACAAAAATATAGGCAATGGTGGACGGGTAGGCCTTTCAGCGACTCTTTATATGCCTGATATGCTGGAATTGGTCTTCGTAACTTAATTCTGAAAAACTAAGGTTTTGGATTAGCGAAAACCCAATTCATAATGCATCAATTTATGCGCATTCTTCCGCGTTGCGATCGATAAGGCTGTGCCCGACTAGTTGGTGCCGAATACTGGTGTTGTTTGCACTTGTGGCTAAACTAAACAGAATTTTTCAGCCATATGTTTCATAGGCTGTGGGTTTGCGCAAACAAAAGCAAACAAGAGCACGCGAACTTCATTCTCATGGACAATTTTGGAGTTGCAAACCGAAATTGTAACTCTTGAGGGGTGCCTGATGTTAGTCTGGCACACTATTCTGCTTCAGGGTGGCGCAATCTCGTTTCCTGGAAATGGGTTGCTAGAACTACGGTCCACAGGTAATCAATCGGGTTAACCGCTTCAGAGTTGGACGTAGTAAAGTAGGTTCGTCTAACCGACTCTACATAGTTAATCTCAAACTGTTAGTTTAGGCTATAGGATATGTGAATAGTCACATCACATCACGTGTCCATTGAATGTATAATCGCACACCTTATAGTCTTTCTGGCTGGGTCTAGTCAGTGCATGTCTGATCCAAGTGACATTCTTGACTTCGTGTACGGTCACAGCTTTGAGTTCAGTCCTGCGTTATCATAACACTCTTGAACGCGAATCAGCGTTGCGGCATGGTAGTTACCTACTACACTTCACTTCCGTGA